TGCCACCACCCTCGCCCTATTTGCTAATATAATTGGTAGTATTTCCTCTAAACTACATGAATCTTGCCAGTAAAAGCACTTTTACTCTGTGGCTGGGCCTGCACTACAGTCTAGAATTTATCTAAATTCGCTCTTCAACAGAAAAGGAGCAAGAGGTGTAGCAAAGCACAGTAATGCTGCAACCAATGCTACTCTAAGCCACTAGTACTTTTTCTGAAAATTAAGGTTTTATATCAAGAACAAACCTGCAGCATGATTCATGGGACAAAGCATTGCTGAATTCCAATTGCTTCCCAAACACCAGTGATACAAGTAACTTGAGAGTTGGGGTGCAACAGAAGTAAGTAGGGCCTACTAAAAAGGAGCTGTCTATATAATTTACGGAACAGAGCACAGCAGGTTGCATTGCATCATCCTTGTAAAACTGAGAAGTTCTTTCTCTAGCAGTTATTTTTCTTTTAGTTGCATTTAAGATAAATAGAATACAATGAGCAAGTACTTTGAAGAGTAACCCACATCTTCAAACAACTGACAAGAATTACTATTTCTCTTTTTAGAAGGCATTTCCCTCCCCACGTCTTCAGATATCCACAGCTAATAGTGTGTCTCAAACCTGCCCAGACAGATTGAGACAGTTATTAGTTAATTCTGCTTGCTATACTTCCTTACTTGTTACTTCCCACTAAGCCAGACCAGCTGAGAATTTCATAATATCAAACATACCTCTTTAGGCAGAAGCATATAAATATAATAGGTGCCTTTGCTTCCTCACACCACCCCTCTTCTCTTTTTTAACACAGGTACTATACACTACATCATTGACCAGAAGACCTAGGAGTGAGTCAAATAACCAGAAACAATAGTTCATCAGTAGGTCTCCTCCTCACCTTATGGGAAGTCTGACATTACTGCACTAGGCTATTGCCTTACAGAATACTATATGCCTACTGCCTTATACTATAAAGATGTTCTTTTGGACAGCTTCTGGCAAAGGTACACCATAACAGGATATTATTAGCACAGAACACACATTCTTGGTAAGGTACCCACCGTTCTTTTAAATTAATAGGTCTGGAGAAGAACTGGCTACAACTTCACCAGAATAGTAGCACATTTTTATAAGAAGGAAATTGGAAAGAACAGTCACAGAGGATCAGCCTGTGACAAGCCAATGGATATTTTACTAAAGAGGGTTCTATACAGATGTCACTGCTCCACAATACCAAGAGCCAACACTGTTCCTTAAAGTTCCTTATCACTACAGGCGATCTCCGATACTGTATTTGCAGGGCTGTATTTCCTGACAGCTGGTACAAGTCTCTGCTGGTTCAATGTCAGTGCAAGACAAGGTATTGATGAGGATCTGTCAGCCACATGGGATCTCATTGCTCTTGTAAACATGAACTGAGGCACTCTGTGTAGCTCTAGCTGTTGACTCTGGAGATAACAGTATCTAGATGCACCTGCAGGCTTTCGTTTATGGCCTGCCCTTTAGATTTAGGTCCTTTTCACTGCACCTGAAGTCTTGCTAGACAAAAATATATTTATTTAATTTAGTTCAGTTTTCATTTTCTCCTTCCCAGTTTATGTAAGTAACTGGGTTTAAATACATTACATACCCACTATAATAGAAAGTGGGTAAAACAATACAATAAATACAGAAAACAACTGTATTAGGGAAATATGTATATAACAAAAAAGTTTATAATGGAAAAGGAAGGGTAGTATGAAAAGGATGTTGTGGTAACAGCCTAGCAGAAAATGCACTGTTCCAAGCCAGGTTGTATGAACAATCATCTGACAAAAGGGATGCTGAAAAGTAGAGCAGCTATAGCTACACTGGATCACTGAAAACAATGCAGGAAAAGGAGTTTGGAGGACACCTAGGCTGGAGCACAGCTGTATATATTCACCTCTCACCAGTAAAACTGAGACACCTACACACTAGAAGCACATCATGCTGGGTAGCACGTCTAGGTGACTACCAGCCCCAAAAGAGTCAGAGAGGGTCTCAGCTCTAAGAGATATGCCAGTACAGAGAGCACACTCTGTGCGTGCAGCCTCACTCCCCAGACACTTCTTAAATCTGGAACCAACATAGTTTTTGCCTGGACAGAGACTCTTACTGTTTTCCCCTGAGGGGAGCTAGTAGTTTTCACTGTACTGAAGCAACATCACCTGAAACGTGCCTTATCATTGCATCTATTTACATCTTCTGTGACTCTTACCATAAGAGCTTCCTTTGATGTGACCTCAGAGCAAAAAATTCTGTGATGTAAATACCATCACCGTATTTATAATAAAAGCCAGGAATTGCCATCTTTGTACATTGCCTAATAGTTCTTGAGAAACTGTTTTCTCTGGATGTTGTTCCTCCATGATTAAGCCACTGTCTGTCGTATTTACAGCTAGTAAGGAAAACCAATAAAAATCTGAATCTGTCTTCCCTATATATGTACACACATGTATAAACAAGCAAGCATGCAGTTTGCTTATACAGGAAGCTTTGCACACAGTACCCTCAGCTATTCCGACAATGTGGGACTGTTCAGCTTCCTGGAGGGTTAGAGCCAGCTCATCCCTTAAGGCAACCCCCCTGCCCCCCCAAAAAAAACAGCTGTGGGAAGCAGGGATCCACCACTACATGTGTCACACACTTTTTAACACTTTCTCTTCTGCTGTTCAGTTTTTGCTACTCTGCTATTTCCATCTTCTTCTGTCTTCTTAGTGAACTAGAAAAGTACATCTTCACTGGAAAGGGCCTGAGCCATAGAAATTACTCAATGAGAATTCAGTGGTGCAGCCACCACAGCACTGTCTGTTTGCCTTTGCATTTTCTCCCGCCCATCCTCACCCTTTGCTCTCCTGCTAGCTCCTCAAAGCAGGACCTAGCTATTGCTCCCCACCTCTGCAAGGGCTGGAACAGTGGATTTCCACTCCCAGTTGGTAACTAGGAATTGATAAACAGATTATAAAATTATGTTTGTACATTGCTTAGCAAACTGGGATTTTATTCCCTATTGGCCCCATACACTTAAACAAAGTTTCAAATTATCTAGGATGAAAGAGCTGTAAGAAAACAGTGAGGAATTGCCAGTAATGTCAAAGTAATTAAAATCTGCAGGATGTTTTATGTTTTCACAAACACTCTTTATAGGTCTTTCTTAATTAGCAAATAATCAGATGTGTATCTAGAATACAAATTTATTATCTGAAGAGAGCCAGTGATGACACTGCCTGATAAACTGTGCAATTTACTGCAATGAGTTTGCTGCACAGCAAAGTGTCTCATTTTTTGAGCACAGTGACAGTATCCAAGCAATTGCCACACAGGAAATTAGAGCATAGGAAAGAAGCAATCCTGCGAATTATCTGTTTAAAATTAATTTCTCACTGTGAAAGTTATTTTTCATAACACACAAAGCCATTCAAACTCAGACTATGGTTCCTCAAAGCATGGAGACATGCACAGACACTCAACAAAATGAAACAAAACGTCTTTGGAACTTCCTCATCTAGGGCTTGCTCAGGTCACAACTAAGCACTTGCACTGTACTGTAACAGTGGCTGCTATGAAGGGATTTGGGCAGCTAGCCTGTTCTCTCCACTACCAAGCAGTACCAAGAATTAGTAGAGGACACCATACAGTAAACCATACCATCAGAACAAAATTAGAAAGGCTTTTCTACTTACTCAGTTGTGATCATCTTCTCTCCACTACTAGCATCTCCTTACTCTAATTCAAGCAAGACCTTTTCAGTCCCAGAGCAAGGGAGATGCCTAGTGCTCACTGCTCAGTGGACCAGTGCTGAATGAAACTCAGCTTAGAGCTGCATTTATGCCAGACTGGTCTTCTCTGATGTATTTCTCACATATTTCTGTCTATTTATATTCCACAGCTGGCACAGTACACAGCACATAATATAAGCAATGAGCAGATATCCCAGTAGCTTTCAAGGACTCTAATATCATGTCTTCAATATACTACCGACTGCCACAGAAAATTTACAAATTTACCACCTAGGAAGTTAAGGGATGAGAGCCTAACATAGGCTATCAGCATAATGTTGTCTGCCAGAGCCTTGCTGAAACTCCTGACAAGATTATCTGATAGTTTCTGTGTTTTTCTCTCTGCTGAAAAAAACCCCTGAAAACACTTTTCCAAGTCCCTTTTAGGTCCTTAGAACTCAGGTGGCCGATAACTAAGGTTTCAGCCACCACTAAACACCATTTTTACCAAAGAACAAGAGTGTTTATTTGTTTGGCAACATCTTTTTCAGGCCAACAGCCAAAAGCAAGCAGTACCTATTCAACCACCATCACCTGCTGAACAAGAATGGTTTGGTTCAATATTCAAGTCACTTCAATATTGTAGGTTTTTCTTTTTCTGTCAAAAGCTGAGTAAGGAAACATCCCATTCATCCCCCTTTGCTCATACCTATATCATAAAATGCACCTGCTTGTAATTGAGTAAGATTGCGTTTGGTCCTGCTCCACATCTTGCAACCACCCTGTTAATACCCTCAGAAGCATTTTAAGGCTCTAATTTACATTGCAAGGATTTTTCCGTATCCTTTTAAACAGCGAGTAGAAAACTGAAAAAGTTGGACACTTGTATAAAAAAAACCAATTAAACTTACCACAAAAAAGCCTTTCCACTAGAATATACCATTGAATATAGAAGAGAATATAGAATATAGCCATAGGCTATAACCCATTCTTAAGAAGTTCACCAGCAAGGGGAAACCACCTGCAGCTAACCCCAGGGCATCCCCTACCCGGCTCCCCTGCCCACGGAGCACAGAAGTTTTTCCACGCTGCGGGCAGGACGGCGTGGGCGCATAAAGATACGGAAAGAGTTGAGGGTTTGCTTTTTCCCTTTAAAAAGAAAAAGGGTATTACCGGCAGACAGGAGGGCAGGTTGGGGCCGTTACCGCCCCCCATCGGCCGCCCCCCATCGGCTGCCCCCCGGCTCCCAGCCCGGCGGAGCGGGGGCTCACCTCGATGAGCCGCTGCAGCGCGGGCCCCCGCAGGCAGGTGTAGTTGGCGAGCAGCTCCCAGTGCTCCCGGAGGAGGTGTTGTGCCGCCCGCACCTCGGCCGGCCGCTCCAGCGCCTGCAGCACGCCGGCCCCCAGCCCCACATAGCCCACGTAGGCCACCAGCAGCGCCGGCAGCCCCCAGCGCCGCCGCGCCTGCTGATGGCGCCTCCCCGCCACCATCCGCTCCGCCGACACCGGGGCCGGGAAAAGCTGCGGCGCCGGGAACGGAGAAGCCCGCGGGGGAGAAGAGGAGCGATGAGCCGGGCAGGGCAGGGCTCCCCGGCCGGCCCCCAGCGCCTCCCCCTTCCCACCCTCCGCGGCGCGGAGACAGCCTCGCCGAGCCAGGCAGCTGCTTCGGCTGCTTACCCCTGCGGCAGCCCGCCCTCATCATCCTCTTCTTCCTCTTGTGCCGCTTCCTCGGACGGTCCCCCGTCTCGGGGACGCAAAACTGCCCGAGGGCTCCCACGCGTATCTGGGCACCGGGTGACGGCCGCCCCGGGCAGGGCGCTCTCCGGGCAGGGCGCTGCCCAGCTCCGCTCCCGGCAGCAGAAGCCCTTATGGAGCCAGCTGGGACTCGTTACACATCATCATCCCCACAGCCCGTGTAAACCGAGCATCCTTCACTCAGCTGCTAAAGCCAATTTAAAAGGCAGCAAACAGGTGTTTCCGATAACGGCTCTTCGATAGAAACAATTGCAAAGGCAAGAAGTTTGTGAGAGACTCTTTCCACTGTTTGTGGTTTTTCTATGAACGATAGGAGCCCCTTCTTCATGCGGGTAGTTCCCAACATCTGTTTGATGAATTGTTTTTTTTGTATAAAATTGCATCAAACCTTCCTCTCTGTTCTCTCACCAGTAGAAAAAAAAATAACCAAATTACTTTGGGAGTATAAAAAGTTTGTAATTTATCTATTTTGTTGCAGACTGAGAAAAAGGGGAATAAACCTGCTAAATTTTGGAGCAGGATGCCTTTATACACCATCAGACAGTAATGTCTTTTCATATTGCCCTGTGTGTTCTGGGTTTTGTGTGGTGGTTTTTTTTTTTTGTTGTTGTTTTTTTGGGGGTTATTTTTTGGTGTCAGGGGAGTGTTTGTACTATTACAAATAAAGAAATACCTTTAAACAGGTACTGTGCCACTGGAACAGTCCTGGGAGTATGCTAATTTATGTTTTCCTTAGAGATGCTTTAAACTGACTCATGGTTTTACTGGCAAGATGCAAAAGTTAATATGCAAAGGACAGACCAATTCCGTGGTTTAAAGATATCATCCTGAACACGGTTTTAAAAAATAAAACAGTTATGCTGCTTATTGCTCAGTCTTAACTCTGCCTTTTCAATGTATTCATTACTTAATGATGTTTAAAATGGAAAAGAAAAAAGCCTTCTGTGAAAATATATATGAGAAAGAAAAGATGCAAAGATACTAAAAAGGATACTTAAGTTTCCTCTTTCATTTAAGATCAGAAAATAGACACATCTGAGCTATGTTTTTACGTTTTAACTGCAGTAAAATCAGGTATTTTATACAAAGCACACTACTAAGTATAACCATGCTGAAACATTACAGACTAAACATCTAACATTTAATGTTTCTAGTTAAGATATATTATATAAAACAATTTACAGGGGAGACTCAGGGTTTGTAACAACAGGCAAGACTGGAAATCCAAGACACCAAGCATGTGTGTGCTAGAAGGAATTTAGTGAGGAAGAGGTGAGATCATGATTCACGACAAATCTTCACAGAATCATATAAGATTTTAATGGCTGATTCTCTTGAATATTCTCAGAAATGTCACTTGTGTGTCAACCTTCTATTTACATCTCTAGAGAGAATGGCTCAAATATTTGCCCATGATATTTTGGTGTTGTCTGGAAGGTACCAATAAACCTGAGGATGAGGAAGGGCTTGCTGAGTAGGCTTAAAGGGTTAATGTGAGCCTGGAGGGGCGTTTGCTTCCCGTCCTGTGCTGGACTGCAGGTAGTAGCTGCCCAGGACAACGTGCTACTTTTCCACATTGGAGATGAACACTCCTGGGCTACCACTTCTGCCACGGGCCACAGAGCCACATTCAGAAGCTTCAGAACTTCTGTTTTCCGTGCATCTGACCTGAGCACCTTGTAGCAAGTTGTGTGATCTCCATCCTGTGCAGGATTGCACCACTGGAAAAATGGTGCTATTAAAAGAGCAGAAGAGTCCCTTTTGTGCGCTCCTCTGACTCCTAGTAAGACTTTATGATTGCACAGTTCTTCCATGTTATTTTTCTTAGCTGGTCAATTGAAAGTTGTTGACTACCTCTTTGTTAGAGGAAGGGTACTGGAAAACACTTGATCCATCCACGCTCAAGAACTGGACCACTGTTCCCAGTGTGAATCTCAAAGTAACTTTGATTAGAGATATGCATGGGCTTTAGGATCTTTTCAGGATCTTGAAAAATTGACAAAGTGAGTGAGAAATTTCTATCACTTGTGTAACACAGCAGAGGTCATCAGTATCTTTTCCCTTTTCTGTTCCAACTTCCTCATGTGCTTGATTTTAGGTATCTTTTTGAGTCCTCTGGCAGGCAGCTTGTGAGCTGCTGCAGCTACTCTCAGCCTGACTAAAAGCAGCAGTAGCAAAAAATTCAGATGATAGTCTTACCATGCTGCTACTTTGCAAAATCAGTATCAGGTACAGGAGCAACTTTCTGGATTGCAGTAAAAGCAATCCAAATTCCCTGCTATCAGATGTCAAGTAAGAATGATTTTAATGAACACTTTGCCAGTAAGCAGTGCGTGCATGCTTTCCATCCCTGATAAACCTATTTATCATTTTTTATGGCATGCAGCATGGTGTAAAACCCTGTATAGGATCACTTTAGACTACCGCATGTTTTGTGGCTGCATGTGGCTAGATAAAGTAAGGAAGGCATGGAAAAAGGCAAGGTGATGGGAGCAGGTCAGATACAAGGGTCAGTAGAACTTTGGTTTTGTCTTTCACACAAAAAGGCCTAAAATGTCTTGTGGTGTTGACACAATGCAGGTAACAGAGTATAGTGATGGTAATGATGACAGCAAGTGCAGATGCAATGGTCGAAGAATAGAGAATGCTAAGAGAGAAAGTTTCCTGTGAGATTTGCAAAGACACAAAAAAACAGAGAGGAGAGAATTGGCTGCTCTCAGTGAAAGAGGCACAAAGAAAGGCGTTGCCCAGATTTAGGGGAATAGCTGAGGGCATTGAGGAAGATCAGCGCAAAAGCGGAGGAGGTAAAATCTGTGAGGTAGGTAGTGGTAAGGCATGAGGGAAATCTTAGAAAGGATAAGTATTTGAAAACTCAGTGTTGAAATGAGTTGAATAAACCATAGCTGCCGTTCTTATATGCCAGCATTTCAGATTTGAGTGGCCATGCTGCACTAGGCAGGAGCCAGCAACTAGCAAAGAAAACAAGCACCGAGTCAGAAGTAAGAACAAGTGTCTGTTGTCACCCTCCTCAAAAGTAAAACTCTAGCACAGAAATTACGTGGGAAGAGATTTGGGACCTACACTCGTCTCTACATGTTTTATGAACATTTCCCTGAAGTGGAATATCAAAGCAGCTGCTGAAAAGGCTGACATTTCATGTTACCATAGCCTACCAGCCACAGGCTAGCTTGGGGCTAGTGTACACTCCCAGTCATATTTCACTTACACTTTTCATTCAAGTTCCACTTCTAAATGAGTTTAAAAGGAATAATCGATGGTTAGTATGGGTTGTAAACATGCTGAATAAACAGCAGTATGTACATAATCACAAGCATACCCACGGAACACGTTAGTGATGGTCATAAACAATCTCCTGTGGTACTCAATGAAAGGATAAATTGTTTTATCAAGCTTTTATAGTTTTCACTCAGAGTGTGACTGCAGTTTTATACCTCAGTAACTAGCCTGTCATCAGGTGCTTATACCTCCTTCTTTGGCTTTTCTGCTTCCTTGGAGAGGACTACTGACTTACAATAACTGTGATAAAATCAAACTCCCTGTTTCTCACAGGTGACACTATGAGCGTGACCGAGGATCAGATGTAACACAGGAGCCATCATCAGCCTTGGCTAGAGGTGAAGGGACAGCATCAGCCCTGGACGGTGCATGATAGTTCTTCAATGATCTGGCCCAAAGCAAGTGCCAGACTAATAATATTTGTGATCTGCCTGGAAATAAGGAAGTCTGCTTGTATTTAGATTTAGTGTAAAGTGCTATTTTCAAGTGGCTGTGAAATGAACTGCCATAAGGACCTGCTTTGAGCTGTCAGTTTGCAGCTGAAATGAATTGTAACAGTCCAGGCAGTGCTGGATAGACACATAATGTCTGCAAAATTTAAGAGAGAAGCATTTTAGTGCCGAAATTATCATTTTATATGAAAGCTGCTAATTTCAGATGATGTCAAACTAATCTTAATTGGATGGATGTCACTAAGGAGGTGGTCGCTAATATTGCTATTCCTCTGTGGCTTTTTTTTTCTGTTTGGAAATGAAGGAAGATTTCTGTACCTGACTTCTTCTATTTGAGATTCTTGGTGACATGACTTCTCATTGGAGCTGGGAGGCAGTCACTCTGGATTTTTTGAAAACGAGTGACCATAAGAACTGAATTCCACTAGAGAAAGGATAATTGATTACTTCAGAGGAAGTTGCCTTTGTTGAATGAGAAGTGTAAAATGAATCCTGGGACCATTGTTTTATCGTGAGTGCTACTTCTTTGGAGGTTCTGATTGGCTGATGCCTACATAATGAGTAAAAATTTCAATGTATCAGAAACATTTCCTCCTCAGGAAACAGTCCACTAAATCTGTGGTTTAGTCCTTTATCCACAGGGCTTGCTTAGTGAGATATAGACGAATGATGTGCTTTCAAGACTGCTTTCTGTGTATCTTGCTCAGCTGGGGATGTGGATCCTAGGCTGCTCAGGTTCATCTTCCAGTTTGATTGTAGCTCCTTCTGCCAAGCTTAAGTCAGGCTTGTGCCAGTTCAACTGAAGGAATTTTTCCATCAAGTCAGCTCCTACATTGAAGACCAGAGCCAGCCAGGCCAAGCCAAAAACAATCCAAATTGCAGTTAAGCTCCTGTACACTGGGATATAGTGCTTGTTAGGGTTTGTGCCTGAAAAATCCAGGAAACTTTGCATATTAATCTCGATAGCTTCAGTCTGCCAGACAACATACATACTCATACACCCTCTTCGCCCCCTGCAAAAGCACATGTTTAACATGTTTGCCTGATCTATGAGCATTCTTCTTTTTTCTTTTCGTGTTCCAACTCTCAGGTTAAGCTCAGGACATTTGGCATCAAATCTCTGAAGCCAAGGGTATATAATAAAAATATCCATGTCTAGTGTTAGTCAGGCTTGCACAAAATTGAGTGTTCCTAGCCACTGACAAAGGAAAAAATAATTTTGGAAACCCAATGTTGAGTCATATTAGCCATATTTTACTCAAAAGATACACAAGGGATCTCAGATGATTTTGAAAGATACAGTTTACTATCTCAGTGATACGGTGATTGATTTTATATGGGAAATGCAGCCATTTTAGGTAAGTTGTTATGGAAACCTTAATTCCCAGTTTGATATTTCCACAGCATGCACAACTGTTACAGCTGATACAGGCACAAGACAGAGATACCACCCATCACTCATTGATCACATTCATACCAGCTTGGACATAGCCTGTTGAATGGGTGGTCAGTGGCATTTGTGAAATGAGTTTGGTGACTCTCAGCTTAGCTGCTGAGAGCAAAATGCCCATGTCATATAGTACATTAGCTCATTATTGCCAGTCTGGCTCAGCTCACTCAGGTACCAGATTTATAGTGGAATGGATATCTCTGCCCTCTGTATTTAGCTTTATACTAGTGTAACTAATTTCAACAAAGCTCAATCCAGTTCACCTTCTTTATTACCTACTACATAGTCCCCAAATCCAATGGTGCTCAGGGTGATGAAGGTGAAGTAAAAGCCTTCTCCATAGCTCCAGCCTTCTACGTAACTGAAGACCAATGGTGGAAACACTAGAAAAAGCAAGGTCCCAGTGGTCAGGAAGATGGCCACTGCTAGTGTTTGAACCACCTGAAAGATAAAAGGAAGACGGCAGCTAAATGGCACTCAGCAGTTGTCTAGTGGAAGTCGCTGGATTTGTTTTGCTCTTGAATCACAAATCCACTCCAGCTGGGAGCAATGTCCAAAAAAGGAAGGATAAACCAATGCTTCCATTCAATACAGGCTCACCTTGCTGTTTACCCTGCACATAGGTATTTTACCTAATCATAATTCCAAACCCTCTCAAAATCAGGAAAACAAGGAGGACTTTTTAAGATTTTTGCAATGAGTTTTAAAGTATGCTCAAGTCATATTTTCAAACTTATTATGGCAACCACAGGAATAAAATACTCACTTTACGATTTCAATTCAAGTAGAGATGTTCTCATAATCTCTGAGGCTCCTGTCTTTGAGGAAAATCACCAAGTATTGCATAACTCATGATACAAAGATTGGCAACAAATTAGGGTTCTCTTCCTCACAACTGCTTCCAAAGATTTATAAAGTGCCTTGCAAGAGCTCAGCCAAAAATATGTTTGGACGAAATCTAAAGAAAGTCAGTTTGCCTGCTTTTATTTTTAACTTCCAGGCACTCAGAGCAGAACTGTTTTCTGTCAGCACAGGGCAGAGCTGTGTCTCTCAGTACAAACATCTGCCTTCTGGAAGATAAGTTACCACATATGTGGCTGCAATATATAGGTACACAGAACGGTCAGTGGATGGGTCATGACATGAGACTTCAGCATTAAGGATCAGGTACTCATGGATTTCCAGGGAACACAATCTGGTGAATTTTTGACTAGTGATTCAAACTCATTGCAATTGTTTAAAAAGGCCCTTGAGGGCATTCAGATCAGAGTGTGATTTTCTATGCATGTGCCTATTGTGACTGGATGAGAAGCCAAACCACTGTTTTTAAAGTGGAAGGTCCAGGTATCATGTTTTCCTTTCTCGCTTTGTATTATCTCACATATAAAATGGTCCGCTGAGCTTGAGAAACTTGGCATGAGCCTATTGAGTGACTTTGACAAATCACTTCTGTATTATGTACCACGTCTCTCCAGCTGTATAATAATACTTACCTCATTTGCAAAGCACTTTGAGAATTACTGATCGACATAGTTGGTATCTGTTCTCATTTAGTTTATTCCAGAAGTATGATAGCTTTTAATTAGGTAGTAAAGTTTGCACAAATTTGTATATT